TCACTCTGAATGTGCACACAGCATTCCCTCTGAGGCCAGGCTCAACAAAGCGAACGTATGGTCGCTGCCCTGGGACCCTTTAATCAGCCCACATGGAAGAGACTTGCACCCGAGAGCAAAGAGCAGAGCTGACCCCTGGAGAACCCATACCAGAACGCAGGAGTTCGGCAGTACAGCTTCCGGGTCCTTTGAGAAGCCTCTGGCTGCTCCCGTTAGCGTTTCATTATGGAAATATTGGGAACCAAAAATAGAAGTTCTTGAGGGGAGCTTAATCCTCTGGGCTTTACACAACAGCTGCTGGAGCGTTCCATGAATCAACCACCAGGAGGCACTCTTGTCCCATGCACGGGGGTCACGGGTGGGCCAAAAGCTTCCATGAAGATCCCAACATCCCTCGGCACCTTCGTGCCCTAGCCTTCATGCCCCTCTCAAGACCCTGTGGCTGGGGTCCTCCCGGATCACCAGCTCCTGGTGCCGGGGAAACCTTTTGGCAACCCAGCTTACCGCTCTCCTCCTTGGAGCCTTGAGAGCGGGGATAGCTTTTGCATTTATTTTCCTGCACTTATTTTCCTGGCTTTTCTCCCCATGCCACCACTCCCCACCCCACCCCTGAGACCTGGACTGCTGCTGGACACATAGGAGGCATGAAATACGCACACGGTTCTTTGGTGAATGGATATGTGAAATCTGCGGAAATTAATAGGTTGGGGAAAGGAGACTGCCTGAGCTTTGGCAGGATGGTGGGGACCAGAGGGAGGGTTATAGCTGCCGGTTAAGGGGAGGGTCGTGGCTACATGGGAAAGAGGGGGAGGGAGGGCTCAGGCAGGAGGGTAACAGATGTGTTTCTGGGGTCCGGCTCCTGGGAGGCTGCTCAATGCTGAGGTCAAACCCTTACCTCAGGGCCCTGGGCAGCAGGGGCAGCAACATGCAGAGACAAGCCCAAGTGGCCCCCAGCCGTGGCTCAGCTGCCCTCCATGTGGTTATCGCTGGTCCCATGGCCTCACCTGTCCCTGAGGTAGCCTGTGGCTGCCACCATCGGGCTATGACCTCCCACAGGTGGGCCTGGATCACACCGCCTCCCTCTGGGTGATGCCATGGAGCTCAGCACCCTGACCGGGTATCACACATCCTTAGCGCAAAGGAGTCTCATTCAAGAGAACCTCAGAGTGTCTGCCACCAGACCAGCCTGCTGCATCCCAGTTCCACCTGCCCTGGGATGGGCCTCCCCTAGCGGAGCCAATGCCCAGGTGGAAGGAGACAGGGTGAGAAGAACACAGGATGGAAGGAAGACCTGGGTTGGAATCCCAGGAATCTAGGACCTAGTCAGCAGCAGAGGTGTGGTTTCCCTGGCAAGTTACTTATTCTTGCTGAGACCCGGTCTGTCATCTGCAGGATGTTCGTACCTCCTCGCAGGGGATCAAATGAAGTAGCAGATACCTAGTGGCGACACACGGCCCATGCCTCGCTAGGGAGGTGCCGCGTTTGTGATGTTATCGGCACAGCAGGAGACGCAGGCAAGAGGTCTGCAGCAACACTAAGGAGCGGGGTGAGTGGGCAGAGGAGGCAGGAAGCAGGGGCAGCCAGGAGGGGCGAGTACGGGGCTGCGCTTCCCCGAGGGGAGGTGACCACGGCCAGGAGGATGCGGCAAAGTCAGTATCGCGGGGACGAGGGGGAAAGAGAGGGGAGTCGAAGTCCGGCTCCCGAACAGGGAAGAGACAGCTGCAGCAGGATTGGCCAGGCCGGCCCCAAATAGGGCCAGGCCCACCAAGCATCCCTGGACACCTTGGGCTTCCCCTTCCAGACGCCTCGGGGTCTCACTCCAGGTCCTGCTTCTGACCTTCCCCTCTCAGCTGCCGGTTTTTCCCTCTCGGGCCTTCTACTAGAACCCGGCTTCCCGAGGACAGTCTGCAGCTCACTCTGGCGTCACCCTCTGGCGGTGCTTTTCTGGTCTCTTCTCCTGCCACCCAGGCAGCTCCTGCCCCCTGACTCCCACACCCCAGGAGCCTCCAGAAGCTCAGCCCATGGAGCCCCAAGCCCTGTGCGTGTCCTAGAGCGGAGCTGGTGCAGACAAGAGCAGGGGCTCAGGCGGGGCTGAGACTGAGCAGTGGGGGGAGGGCTGGCGAGAACAAGGCTGTGGGCCTGGCTGGAGGGTGGGGGAGGGCCCAGAGCCAGGGGGCTGAGGACTTGGGCAGAGACCCAGACAGTCCAGGGGAGGCCTGGGACAAGCTTGGCACAACGGACACGCCTGATACGAGGCCTCCGGCAGCAAGACTGAGTCTCGTGCCGGAGGCCTCATCTGGTTGGGGCAGGGCAGCCAGTGGAGGTCCTCACTGGCTCCCTGCGGAGGGGACGGAGGCGGCAAGGCAGGGACTGAGAGCGGTGCATGGTATGGGCAGATGGGCGACTCCTCTAGCTCATTTTTTCCCTTTGGGCTTCAGAGCAGGTGATCCCCAGGAAGCCCAGAGAGGAGGAGAGGCAGCTCAGATGGGCCCGTGGCCCGGCTCGGGGCAGAATAGCTGCCAGCCAGAACGGGCTTTCTTTTCCTCCCGGTCTCAAGGCTTTCCAAGACTGTCCGTGCTGGTTACCATCTGCTGTGGTGGTTGCCAGGGGAACCACTTACTATTTTTGTACGTTGCCCACATGACCAGGCTTTGGAAAGGCTCAGGCATGGTCAGTCCAGGACTAATCCTGGAGGCGATGCCCAGTGGGCTCCAACTGGAGACCTCGGTCAGAGGGTGGGAGCTGCTGTGGGACCCCAGGATGGGGCCCAGAATTCCAACTACATCCCTGAGTGTAGGGGGAGGGCAGCCACCAAGGAGAGGGGTACCCCATGTGCAAGAGAACCAAGCCATTGACTCGTCAAACACCAAAAGTGCTGGCCATTCATTGTGCTAGTCGGTGGAGAGATAGCTGAGAATGGGACAAATCCTCTCGGCCTGGTGGACAGACAGACAAATTAAAATGGTTATGGAGCAGCAGACTGCCGTCTTGGCGGGAAGGACCCAGGAAAGCCTCCTTGATGAGGTGATATCTAAGCCAAGAGAAGGTTTTGTAGGCGATACGGGCAAGAGGGAATTGACAGAGTAGGCAGTTCGTTGGAAGGGCATTCCAAGCAGAGGGAACAGCATGTACAAGGGCGCAGGGGACATTGTGAGTAAGACATCTTCTGGAACTGAAGTCACCTGAGCTCTAGAGTGCGAGGGGGGGCCCCCACCCATCACGTAGGGTGAGGGGTGAGGCAAGCTGCACCTCAGTGGGTGTGCCCCGGCGCACCTGACATCAGGCTTCTGAAAGCACGACTGCAGTCCAGGCAGTACTCTGGGGAGAGGTGGGCAGGTTTCCCCACTGCCCATGAGACTTTGGGAGAATCTCCAGGGCATCTGAGAAACCGAAGAGTCTGAACTGCGGGAGGGAGTTCAGTAACCCATCAGGGGAGCTGGGTTACTGCTCAAGGTTCTGGGCTGAGCAGCAAGTGTCCAGAGAGCCTGCTGAAGCTGGTCACCCTGACTTCTTCCGACCCGGCCTGTTGCCAAGGCCCCAGATGCATGACTGAAGGTTTCTTCTTGTGTCGGTCCATGAACCTGCTGGAAGTCCAAGAAGCCATCGGTCCTTGTGCTGGGGGGGGGGGGGGGGGGGGATGGAATGGAAGGAGAAGAAATCAAGAAAACCTGAGCACCCACCAGGTAATGATGAATCTGCCTAGCGCATCACAACAGGACACATCCAGGGGTAGCCCCAGCCTTGTGAAATGGGCATTTTGGTTCTCATTTTAAAGGTTAGGAAACAGAGGCTCTGAGAAGCTAAATAACTTGCCCAGGATTATAGAGGTGGTAAGCAATGAAAGCAGGAGTCACACCCAAGTCAGTCTGACCCTAAAACCTGTCTCTTTCCACAAGACAAATGCAATGCAATGCATACCTGCCGTGTGCCAGGCACTAAGCTAAACACTGGAAACCCAAAGACAAGATGCAGTCTCTTTTGTAAGAATTGGGTGAGATCGTGTGCAAAGGACCTGTGGCAGATTGTATTTTCCCAAATTGGCCTGGTGCCCCTTGACTCTGGGGGCGGACTTTGTGGCGGAGGCCAGCCATGGGGGCCACGAGAAGTCATGCGTGGAGAGGAATGGAGCTCCCTGCCAACAGAGGGCTCCACCCGCTGGAAATGTGAGCGAGCCAGCCTTCATCGTTGGACACACATTCCCACTGCGCCCTCTCAGAGTTACTGACCCACAGAATCTCTGAGCACAAAGAATAGCCGTTTCACACCAGTAAGCTCTGGGGGTAATTATTTACACAGCTATAGTCACGGAACGAGACTCCGTAAAGTGCTTTCATGTGTAAGATGTTACTAGTAAACCTGAGATTGACATAAGGCAATAGTGTCGGTGTCTGAGCAAGTCAACTCGGGTCTTACCCGGGGTTCTACCCCTCCTGGGTGGGGGCTTGTGTGCAGGGGCACACATTTGGGAAATGATCCATGGGATCAGGGTCAGGGGACCGGGGTAGGGGGAGTGGGACAGGGAAGGAAGCTCGGCCAGCTCTGGGGAGTGTTGTTGAGCTGATTGGCCACTGTGTGCAGCTGGGGCTCAGCACCACCTGAGAGCCTCTCAGGAACCCAAGGACAGATGAGCCGTGGCGTGTGGGAGGGGCCTGCTGACTCCAGCCCCTATTGGTGGAGGTTTTTCAGAGGGGGATGCGCTCACCCCTGGCGCTTGCCAGATGGAATGCCCTAGAATGGCTTAGACAGCTCGCTTGGCAAAGGAGCCCAGGGAGGATGCCGAACCTGGCGCTGAGAGATTACACCACGTGCGCTGGGCTGACAGGCTGCGAATTGGAGCGTAAAAGGTGAGCCACACGTCCCGGTATTCAGTAGTCCGCCAGTCGGTACTTCCTTTCACATGATGTCCTGGACGGAGGCCTGCAGGGCCAACCTCTGCCTGGTCAGTTTCCCCACCGCTGGGAGACAGCCTGCCTCACCTCTCTGGAAGGGCCTGTGCAGTTTCAGGCCTGTGTGAACCAGGCCTTTGTGTCCTCAAAGCCACCATCCTTCAGCACCAGGCCCTGTAGGTGATCCCAATCATAGAGATCCCTAGGGAGAGGCCGGGGTCAGGGCATTTACTGCCCCGGGGAGACCAGGCTCTGGGCATGGATTTCCAGCTTCAGCCCCTTGCAGAAGCATCTCAGGAACTGACAGTGCCCCAGCAGGCCATGCTTTTTGGAGACTGAGGCTTTGGGAAGCAGCCTTTTGAAGGAAGCCAGTGCAGAGGGTGAAGTTGCTTTATTCAGACCCTTAGCTTTTTTGCTCCTAGAAACTAATGATGTGGTGAGGAGACCCCTGAGCAGGTGTGTAAAGAAGGCCTTCTGTCCAGGGTCAGGCTGGGACCTGGGGCGAGAAGTGCTCTGCATGACCTCACCTCTAGGACCTGGGTTGCTGGTCAGCTCCAGTGCTCACGCTCTGGAACATTCAATACTTAGTGGTCTTATTTTCCAAATGGAGAACAGGGCTCCTTGCTTCGGGGCTTTGTTTCCTGCCTTTAAGCCACTTCTTCCCTGTTATGCAAGGGAGCTGGCTTGTGCCACCTTCCAGGGAGGAAGGTCCCAAGCAGCTGCAGACCCTGGAGCACAGAGAGGGAGGGAAGGAATCAGCACTCTGGGTGCCGGGAGGAGCCAGCAGGAGGAGCTCCGTTTCCCCCAAGAGAGGCTGTGGAGGGGCTGCGCCTAGGGGCGGGGAGGGAACTTGGATTTAGGAAAGGAATTCACCAATTATGTCACTATCAACAATGCTCTGATGCAGGGCACCTGCCGTAGACCAGGCATCAAGCTTCCCCGCTGAGAGGCTGAACTTGAACTTGTATGGGGACTGGCTGAGAACCCAACCCCTTTCCACTCTCCCGTTGCCTTTCCTTCAGCTTTCTCTTCTCCTGGGTCAAGAATCATAGCCCCTTTCTTCCTTCTTTATCTCAAGTCAGCTGGGAGAAGGTCTGGCCTCAGCGGCTAAGTACAGTTTGGTCCTTCAGGTTTCCTCCTCAGGACTGAGGAGCTTCCTGGGATCTGGGGCTTTCCATGCAAACTGCAAAGTCCAGGAAGGTTGGCCACCTCAAGGCTCTCCTGTATGGGGGAGACGGATGCAATTATAGCCACGTAGGTGAGTGCTAAGCTCTAGGGGACCCCAGAGGAAGTGTGTCTAGACCGAGTCTTGTAAGGACATAAGCCTTGGAAGCAAAGAAAACAGGGGCACCTGGGTGGCTCAGTCGGTTAAGCATCCGACTCTTAGTTTCGGCTCAGGTCATGATTTCAAGGTTTGTGAGTTCACGCCCTGCATTGGGCTCTGTGCTGACAGTGTGGAGCCTGCTTGGGATTCTCTACCTGCCCCTCCCTCTCTGCACCTCCCCTGCTCGCTCTCTCTCTCTCTCGCTCTCTCTCTCAAAAATAAATAAAAACTTAAAAAAAATAAAAAATAAAAAAAAATAAAGCAAAGAAAACATGACAAACCAATGTGGCAGCAGGGGTAAACAGGACAGCAGACGTGATGATGCTGATCCCCAGGCCAGCCTGTGTTTCCATCCCCTGAGCTGCAGCCACCCTGCGTGGAGCCTCTGGGGGCTGCCCAGGTTTCTGTGTGCTCTGTCCTGGAATCTCTAAATGAAAGCCACTCTGATTCAGAGAAGACCCTTGCTGGGGGTGAAGGGCAGTGAACTGGGCAGAATTGCCCCAGCATAGAGGAGCCTGGGGCCCTAAGGGAAAACTGCTCTTTAATGGGGGCTGGGAGAAGGTAGGGGACTGGGGGTCCTGGAAAGTTCCCAGCAAACTGAATTTGGAGCCTTTGCCCACCCTGCAGACAAGGCTGTAAGGAATGGAATCCCACCCCTGATGATGTGGGAAGTAGGTGACACGTAAGGAAAAGAAGTCATCTCTCAGGTGTTTCCAAGGGCCTGTAACCATTTGTCTGCATTCATACATCATTTGTTTGGAGGCCACATGTCCCCGTACAGACTAGCTTGGCCACATGAAGGACTTTCTCAACTCTGGGCCAAAGAGTCCTGTCTGATAAGTTCCAGGCCCGTTATTCTTGGGTGGGTGGCCACCAAGCTCCCAGCTTCTGAGTGGGAGACCCAGGAGTTCACCAGGAATATCTTGAGTCTGGACACACAAAAGAATAAAGCAAAGGTCTAACCTGGTCCTCAGAAAGGCTGTGGCTGGGTTCTCCCTGAGGTGACACGTGAGGCAAAAGGTAATGTTTCTCAAAGTACATCTGGGCCCATGTGTACCACAGTCTTCTGGGGAGGCTCATTAAAAATTCAGTGCCCACCTTTTGGGATGAGCACTGGGTGTTATATGGAAACCAATTTGACAATAAATTTCATATTAAAAAAAAAACTTAAAATAAATTAATTTAAAAAAAAATTCAGTGCCCAGGTGGCTCCTGGGTGGCTCAGTCAGTTAAGTATCTGACTTCTGCTCAGGTCATGATCTCGTGGTTCATGAGTTCGAGCCCCATGTCAGGCTCTGTGCTGACAGCTCAGAGCCTGGAGCCTGCTTCTAATTCTGTCTCTCTCTCTGCCCTCGCCCACTTGTGCTCTGTCTCTCTCTCAAAAATAAACAAACATAAAAAAAAAAAAAAATTCATTGAGCCATGTTCTAGAAATACAGAATCATGAACTTACAATTGGTGGGACCCAGAATCAGCATTTTGAACAGTCACCTTAGGAGATTCTTCAGCTTAGTGTAAAAATTCTCTCTTGGGAGTAGTTGCTATTTATTTTACATCAAAGAAATTAATCTCTAATGTAAGATTTCCAGGATGAATCTAACACAGGGTTTCTCAGCCTTGGCACATTTGACCTTTTGGACCAGATCATTCTTTTTCCGGGGAGCAAGGGCTTTCCTGTGCACTGTAGGATGTTTAACATCTCTGGACGCTGAATGCTGCCGTAGAATCTGATTGTGACAGCAAACTATAAAAATATCTTTGACATTGCCAATGTCCCTTAAGGAAAAGTCCCCCCCAAAGGATGACATCATAAATCTTAAGGTCCAACATGTTGTATGCTTCCCCGTGCTTGGGACGCCCTCAGGCCAGGCTCTACAAGGCCTCCGCCCTCCTCACCTGCCGCCTTCCAGCTGCAGATGGGGCTGAGGCCCCCCACCCAGTCCCCATCAGAACTCACCGCAGTCCTCTCTCTCCTGGTGGGTGGTGGTGCAAGCCAGACCTTGGGCTCTCCTTGCAGGTTCCTACCGACACACTGCCAGTCTTCACGTTAGATTGCCATTCCCCTGCCTCTGGGGACACAAATGTACAGGATGATGGTGACAGGAGCGGCACAGGCTGTACCTTCCAGCCCGGTGCAGGTGGCGATAAAAAGGGAAAGCGTGTGGGGAGGCTGGGCTGTTCTTATTGTGAAAACCTGAAAGTTTATTTTTGTGCTTGTTATTCTACAGCACAAATGGTCATGCCAGGGTATGGCAAGCACAGAAAAATATACAGATGTCACCGGTGACTCACTGCCGAACAGCAGCCAACAACATTGTGAGGACGCCCGGTAATGCGCCCCCTTGACGCCCGTTCTTCCACCCTGGCTGCGTCGCGGGCAGGATAACGCATGAACGAACTGCCACTTGACCGAGAACAATAACAAGCATCTGGCGTTCGAGGGGTCCAGCGTGGGCTTTGATAGCCTATCTTGCAGGAGATTTGGCACCTGGGCTCTCCGTGCCCGCCCCACCCTTAAAGCTCCCTTGAATGGGCGTCAAAACCTCGTCTTTGCTCATCAAAATGGGGCTGGTCTTCGGGCTTGAAGTCCAGGTTGGGGCTGGAATCCCTCGTTGAAGTATCCTCCGGGCCGTGTCCTTAACCAGCAAATGGAATTATTGGCTTTATTGCTACCGTGGTGAAGAAGGCGTCATCCAGGGACTTCAGCTCCCTCGACAGTGGTGATCTTGTAAGGGGAAAAAAGGCAGTGGCATGTGTGTGGCATGTGTGTGCTGTGTGTAACAGCCACTAAAAGCTGAAAGGCAGAAAGGGAAACAGGGGGGGAGGAGGCGAGACGAGTGAGTTGTGCCTCAAACTGGACTCTCACCACCAGCTCCTCTCCTCCACACACCATGATGCCTGGAGGAAAAAGTATCAACTCGCCAACCTTATTCTGGCACAATCCTGTGCGAGAAGCGGAGTGGTGGGGAGTCATGGCTAGCTTCATCATGTCCTGCCATTTGTGCGTGGGAATTACAGGCGCCGAGCAGTGAGGGGCACCTCGTTGGTTCAGTCGGTTAAGCGTCCGAGTCTTGGTTTCGACTCAGGTCACCATCTCACGGTTTGTGAGTTTGAGCCCTGAGTTGGGCTCTGTGCTGACAGCGTGGAGCCTGCGTGGGATTCTCTCTCTCCCCTCCCCCACCCTCTCTTATGCACACACCCCCCACGGTGCTGTCTCTGTCTCTCTCAAAAATAAAGTACAAAAAAAGAAAAAAAAAAAACAAAACCTCCAGCGAACACCCAGCCTCAGGCAGGATGGGGTATGCTCTGTACCCACCTCCTTTCCACTGCTCTCTACACACTCTTCCCATTATAAATTCATACACCCTCCCCGCTCCTTGATTCCTGAGTGTAATCAATCTTTAACATTTGACTTTAATGAGTTTGACTCATCTGAGCACAACTGGGGCGAATGCCAGTCCCTCCGGTGGAATTACTGAGACCCTGAAATGGCTTTTGCCGATGCTATTTTCTCCTCCACAGAAATACGAACACGGGGGACACTCTGCTTTTCACCCTGTTCATGCCCTGAGCGGCCTGGTGAGTGGGTGTCAGAGATCACAGAGAATCTGGAAGAGACTGGGGGTGGCGGGTGCAGACCGCAAGGGGGAGGGGGCTCCCAAGGCACTGTGAAGATCACAGAGTCGATCACAAGTTCACAAGAGTCCGGACTTGACTCTGTAGGCGATGGGGAGTCCTGAGTAGGAGTGGCATAGGAAGACACTTACTTCAAGGGAACAGTTGGCTACACTGAGAGTGGACTGGAATATCAACGAGCTAAGTAGGAAGCTTGGCTATTTCCCAAGGGTAAAAAAGGCCATGGCCAAGGGGATGGGACATTTTGACAAAGGCTCATAACCTGGCTCACAGTGTCATGGGTGAGGTCTGCAGGATCGAGGGACATCTTGGCCACCCCTCTGGTGGAGTCCTTCCCGGTCAAGGCATTGTAGGGGGCTCCTCGTCCATAAAACTCTGTAGTGGGGAAAAGGGGAGAGGATGTGATTGTGGACGTGCACGCAAAACAGCCAGGAGACTGTACGGGGCTTCTGAGACCCAATCCAACGCTAAAACTGGCTCCAGGCCGAAGGAGAGGGGAAGCAGTGAAGACGAGAAGCCCCTCTGCCGTCAGTTTGGACTCCACTGATTCAGAATATGGAGTAAGTCACACACGCCGGGCTGAGGGGTGGTTTTTTAAAAAATACGGAATGGAAATAATCCCTTAAAAATACTTAAAATGCAAACAAGAAAAATGTCCAGTCTTCTTAAATGTCGCTGGAAGCCAAGTCTGCTTCCGTTCAACAGCTTTTGTTTGGTAAACAATGAGCCACAACAAAACTACCTCCCTGATACCATCTGTAGTTAACCACTAGAGAAACCATGAAATGGCATTAAAATGTTGGATCGTGTTCTATGATCCCAATGCCTTGCAAAGCAACACTTTGCCTATTGCTGCTTCAACTACGGTAAGTTGCCAGGTTTGCATTTGATTGCACAGGCAGCAGGGAGCCACAGAAGGTCTTTGAGCAGGAGTGTGACATTATTAGAAAAACACTGTGGCAATACAACACTGGCAGAGACTGTTAATTCAGTCTGAGGGAAAGGGACCTGGCCAGCTTTCCTTCCGTTCTTTTGCATACCCAGCGCCCACTCTGGCTGCCAAGCTCCCCAGAAGTAAGGATTCATAAAGCCGAGCCACTTACCCTTTCCAGAAGTGACATCAAACACCACTCCTTTCACTGCCATGTAGATGGGCTGATCTTCCTAGAAAGCAGGAGAGAAGCTGTGAGGAGGAGCCCAAGAGCCCAGCTCCTCCAGCCCAAGTGAGTGACATCACTCCGGGCTGTGCAGACAGCAGTGGGTGGAGGTACAAAGCAGCCTCTCCTGAGCCGGTCCTCGGCGAGTTCGGCGCCATCAGGAGCTTGCCCGCCCCTGCCCGATGTCACATCCCCTCACAGACTTTGGGAAGGTGACACAAAGTATCATGACAAGCCTATGGCAACACTTTTCTGTAAACAAACACAAGCAAACCAGGGACTGAAGCAGCTCTGCACGGATAAAAATCCAAAGGATGTTAAATGATGAATTATTTACATCAGCCCAAATTTCCTTTCATCTTTGGCAATGGAATCAGTCTGAATGATCCATTTTACATTTTGCCTCTCATAGGTAATGCGGTTTCGTACAAACGTTCCCATGTATTGAAATCCCCCAAACGGCTGTCACTCTAACAGCTCTATCTTATGGTAGCGCTACTGCATTCCTGTTTGTTCAGCTGTTCTGTTTTGGGTATTTGGGTTCTTTCCAATTCCTTAAAACTATAAATGGCGGGATTATGAGTATCTTTCTACAAGCTACTTTATAATTTGGTGAGTTATTTCCTTGAGGCGTGCAATACATGGTCCAGGAATAATCCTGGACCAAAGCATACGAACAGTGTAATCAGTTTTATTAAAAATTTAACCAGCGTGTCCTTCAAAAGGCCCACTGACAGTGCTAGAAATATATAAGCAATGCTGTTTCCCGGACAGTACTAACAATGAGTCTTATACTTTATTTTTTGCTATATTCGTGGGTACAAAATGTTACCTTTGAATTCTTACCCCTCCGCCCCCGACCAAAGAGAATAATTCAAAAACAGATGGCATGAATTTTCTAACTTCCATCAAGGTGGACTCGGGCTGGGGCAGTTGACATAGCTCTTGGACTTGCAGGGCCAGGTCTTAGCCCTATTGCGGGTACAGGGACACCAACCAGTCGGCCCACAGGCTGGGGTGAAGGGATGCGTTGCAGCTGGGTGTATGGGAATCTCTGGATCTCCAGGAACACACTGCTTGGTCTTCTGTAGGGTTGGGTCTTAAGGTTCTTGCCCTTGTTGAGCTTAAGGTCAAGTGTTTTCATGACTACATTCAACAGAGACAGGAGGAGAGAAGTTAAGCAACTTGGCCAAGCAAATATATCTCACTGTCACATAACTTCACGGGCCTCCGTTTCTCTAACTGTTATATACAGGTAACACCCACTGACCTTGCAGGAATGCTGTACGTGAGCACATGGTAGGTCCAGCATAGGAGCTCAGTAAATGGTTGGTTATTAGAGTCCCTATTAGCTCCCACAGATGCTCCCTAGAACTTCTGTTGACTTAGTGGATACTTGTTCCACCTCAACTAATAAGAATTATTTTATAGGTTTTTTAAAATGTTATCTTTAAGTAATCCCTACCCTCAATGTGGGGCTCGAACTCACAGCCCCGAGACCAAGAGTAGCACGCTCTACCAGCTGAGCCAGCCAGGCGCCCTGGTAAGGGTTATTTTAAATGCCATGGTGTAACCAGCCAGCAGCCTGCATTCTTCTTTACAGCCTTTCTTTCACTGTGATTATTTGTTTCTTGACATCAGTGGCTCAACTGGGGTTATGTTTTATTCGAACTTAAAAAATATATATGAACAGTTATAATTTTACCCATAGCATTTTGTCATATTTTCCATTCTGTTGCTTTTCCTTTGCTATTTTGTTACTTTTTTGTGTGCAAAGAGTCATAGAAACATGACATTCACATACATAAAATATAAAAATATGTATCTCATCACTAACACCCTCAATTTCTTCAACAAATAAATTTTTTAAAAGTTTATAGTTTATTTATTTATTGGGGTCCCTGGGTAGCTCAGTTGGTTAAGTGTCTGACTTCGGCTCAAGCCATGATCCCACAGTTCGTGAGTTCGAGCCCTGCGTCAGGCTCTGTGCTGAGAGCTCAGAGCCTGGAGCCTACTTTGGAGTCTGGTCCTTCTCTCTCTGCCCCATCCCCACTCATGCTCGCTCATGCGCGCGCGCTCTCTCTCTCAAACATACACATTTAAAAAATTTAAAAAAAAAAAAGTTTATTTATTTATTTTGAGAGGGACAGAAAGAGAGAATCCCAAGCAGGCTCTGCACTATCAGCACAGAGCCTGACACAGAGCTCAAACTCACGAACCATGAGATCATGACCTGAGCCCAAATCAAGAGTCAGACACTTAACCGACTGAGCCACCCAGACGCCCCTCTTCAATAGTTAAATATTTATCTCCTCACAAAACTATGCATTAAGGTGTAAGTGCTAAGAGGAGGTCTTAGCAAAGGGGTAGAAAGGCACGGTGAACGCCTCTGAGGCTTTCCTGTTACACAGACATTTCACGGAGAGGAACGCCCTTGTCAGTTAATTGTCAAGTGTGCTGGGGGTGGGGGGTTGTTCCTATCCCGTGGAGCTGATGTCCCCTGACAGCAGGCATGGTTTTCAGGCCCCGGAGGTGGCAGCTGAGAGGACAGAGGGTGAATGGAAGCCTCGGGAGCATAAACACAGGCTCTGGAATAGACATGTCCTCAGAGACACCAAAGACACACACACTTATCGCCAGCTTCACACCGTGGTCCCCCACCCTCAAGTCCGCCTGGAAGGACATGCATCATTCTTATCCGCACAGCAGGCCTGAAATAACAGCAGGTCTGCCTTTTTCTGAGACCAAAGGAGGGGTCACCACGGTGGGGTGTTCCTAGCACAAGTTTTCAAATCAAACAGGCCTGGGTTTGAGCCCCCACTTATACGTTGTGCTGTCTTGGGCAAATTACTTAACTTGTCTGGGCCTCGGTCTTCTCCTCTGTAATAGGAAGATACTAAAAGTGTCCACTTGCTGGGCTGTTGTGATGATTAACCAAGACAAGAGATAGGAAGCACTTAGCAGTTTAGGGAAATAAATGTTAGTTTCCCTTATCCTTCCCTAGATTTTGAAAGTTATAAGATCTGAGAGGAATCAGATACTCAAGTGCAAGAAGATTCTATCTTCCTAAAGGAAAGATAGGGGGAAAAAATGTAATTCCCAAGTCACAGATAAGGATCCTGGAAGAAATGTAAGTTAAAACTGGAAGGGGCCTTGAAGATAATCTAACACCGTCATTTTACAGATGCAGCTATCCAGGCTGGGGAATTATGAGACCTGCCCAGAGTCGCAAAGAAATTAGAGCAGTTTCTGGAACCTGGAGCCTTGGAACCCAAATCATTCCACTCTCTGGCTTGTACCCCCAGAGGGCACACAGCAGGAAGACCATGAACTACTACTCGCCTGGGACCAGGAGAGGGTGAGAGTGGCCTGGGAAACTCAACCATCCACAAGACTCAGAACCAAAAGGTAAGACACGGGATAGGTCAGAGGTACTCAGTGGAAGGGAATCAGGGTAACTCCCTCTGCATAACTGAGACCCGGCCTTTTTCCTCTGGGCCTTGGGCTTGCTTTACCACCTGGCCTTCCTCCCTGCCTACAGTCAGGCAGGGCCAGTAGAGCGCCATGAGAGTTACCAGAGAAGCAGATGCATAAGCAGCAGGGCAGAGGAGGGAGGGCCTTTTCCATAGCAGGGAGGGAGAGGCCTGGAGCCTGGGCTCAGGCAGGCAGGAAGGCAGGCCCAGCAGTCAGCCAGCCGCCCCTGAGCCTTCAACCCTCAGACCCTGCACCAGGGCCCGAGGACAGAGTAGAAGTTCCTCTCTGGAACTCTCTCCTTGGAAAAGAGGGAAAACTGTTGCGGATGTTTGCTTCTGCAGAAATAACAGGGCTCCAAGGGTCTAAGGCCATGTTTTTCTGACTGAAATTGACATTAGTAAGTATTAGTGGGTCATGGAGTTAATTTAGTGATTTACAGATTTTTTTTAATTAAGTTTAAAAAAGAAAAGTTTAAAATAGAACAGAAAATAGAAAACATTGAAGTGAATCACACATAGTAATAAGCCTTGTTTCATGGAACTTCTGTTGTGTGGTGTATACCGAGGTAGAATGCAAAATTGTATTCCTTAATATGGGCCAAATATCTACAAGACATCACTCTATTGTATAATTAGAGAGGGTGGTTTTACCTCTTTATTTACCTACCTCTATACCATAGCCTTCACTGTCTGTATATTCTTTTTATGTTTACTTATTTTTGAAAGAGAGAGAGAGAGAGAGACAGAGCATGAAGGGGGCAGGGGCAGAGGGAGGGAGACACAGAATTCGAAGCAGGCTCCAGGCTCGGAGCTGTCAGCACAGAGCCCGACGTGGGGGCTCGAACTCACGAACCGGGAGATCATGACCTGAACCGAAATCAAGGGTGGGATGCTTAACAGACAGACCCACCTAGGCGCCCCTAAACTGCATTTCTGGTCATACTTGTACTCTGATATCTTCTTCTTAGAACCAATATAGCTTCGGAGCGGCCACTGCCTGGAGCAGCGAAGAGGGAGGCTTTTGGTAGTTCATTTTCCTTGTACGAGCCAGGGTGGGCAGAGCCTGATTCGTCACTATAATTCTCTAGCTGTGTAAACCTGGGCAAGTTACTTCGTCTCCATGCTTCCTTCCTCATCTGAAAAATGAGCTAACAACAGCACCTACCTCATGGGGTTGTGGTCATCATTAAATGAGTTAATGCTTTAAAGCTTAGGATAGTGCCTGATAGAGTTAGCTCTACGTAAGAGTAAAATACATAATATCTGGTCCCAGGCCCAGAAGTCAGGCGGGTGTGGGGGCAGGCAGGGTGACCCGCTCTGCACTTGGTCCTACAAAGCAATTAAGGCAGAAAACATTATCTTCTGAGGATGGCATTCCCTCTGGACCAAAGAGAACCCTCAGAGTCACCTCATCTTCCCTATGGAGGTCTGAGGCAGCACCCCATAATCAACTATATTAACATTTCCACAGTGAAGCATGAACATGAATATTCACACTAAATAGGATACATAAGGACTATAAATAGATTCGTTTTAAGTTTATTTTGAGAGAGAGAGCGAGCTAGTAGGGGAGGGGCAGAGAGAGGGAAACAGAGGATCTGAAGTGGGCTCTGTGCTGATGGCAGTGAGCTAGATGCGGGGCTCAAACCCACAAACTGTGAGATCATGACCTGGACCGAAGTCAGATGCTTAACCAACTGAGTCACCCAGGTGCTCCCTGTAAAAATAGTCTTTTTTTTTTTTTTTTAATGTTTATTTATTTTTGAGAGGGGGAAGAGGGACAGAGAGAGGGAGACATAGAATCCGAAGCAGGCTCCAGGCTCTGAACTGTCAGCACAGAGCCCAACATGGGGCTCGAACTCACCAACCATGAGGTCATGACCTGAGCTGAAGTCGGATGATTAACCAACTGAACCACCCAGGCGCCCCCCCAAAATAAAATCTTAAAAAAAAAAAAACCTTCTAGTTTTCAGAGTTTATTTGATTTTTGAATTGCAAAAGAGGATTATGGGACCTGTTTTACTGCCTCTTGCTTATATCTTTAATAACAAGCTAATAGCAGCTAAGATTTATTAAGGCTTACTATGCTAAGATTACTGCAGGCCTATCCAGTGCACTTTGCATATCACTGTCTCATTTAATCCTCAAACCTGTATAGAGTAGGAACTCTTGTTATAGCCATTATGATGGTCAATTTTATGTGACAACTTTGATCAACTACAGTATCTAGGTGTTGCTATGAAGATATTCTGTAAATGTGATTAACATTTACAATCAGTTGACTTTGTTACATAAAGGAGACTATCCTGAATAATCTAGGTGGGCCTACCTGTATTAGTTGAAGGGCCTCAAGAACAGAATTGAGGTTTCCCTGATGAAGAAGAAATTCTACTGGTGGCCTGGACATCAGCTACTGCCCACGGGTTTCAGGCCTGCTTTGTGGATTTAAGACTTGCCTAGCCAGCAACCATGATAACATAAACCAATTCCTACAATAAACCAAATATATTATCTGCTACTGGTTCTGTTTCTGGTGGACTTCTGACTGAGAAAAGCATCTTATAGATGGAAAAAAAAAAAAAAAAAAGAGAAACTCCATGAGCTTTAGTAATTTGCCCAAAGTCACACAGTAGAATAGGGACTCATAGCCAGGTATGATTCAAAGGTATAAGGCTTGAACTAGGATACTGTAAAATGTATTATACAAACAATGACACTTCTGAGAGTGAAGTGGGGGGTCGGGGGGGGTGGGGAGGGTGCTATTAGTAATTATCCCCAGACAACAGGCATAAAACAGAACCATCTAGGGCAGATCAGAGCACAGCAAGGCTCTACTCAGCTGCACTCAACAGCCCCTCTCCTCCCTCTCTTCCTCTCTCTGCTTACAGACCCCAAAACAACTCTCTCCTTTAACCGTTTTCCATCCCGAGCTTCCCTCTCTCCTTCCCCTAGTTATCAATCAATAATGTCAGCATAAAACACTAAGGGTCTTTTCTCCATCCTCATCCTGCAGCCCCTGGAGCTATTGTTTCAAGTACCCTCAACCGTGAACTCTCTCTTCTCTTGGGTTCTGTGCTGGGGGTCCCCAAGCTTGCCGCCATGTTTCAAGATTCACTAGAAGGACTCAGAACTCAGCACACAAGTTGTACTCAGAGCTCAGATTTATTAAAGCCATATAGAAGGATACACAGCCAGATCATAAGAGAAAAGGACAGAGGTAGAGTCTAGAGGAATCCATGTGCAGACTTCCTTATGTTCTCCCTTCCCCATGAAAGGTAACACACAACGCACTCTTCCTCCCGCAATACAACACAGCAATACGCTTGTGGTGTTTCTGCCCAGGGAAACCCATTAGACACTTAGAGCCCAAGGTTTTTACTGGCAGCTAGCCATGTAGGCCCTCTCTGCCTAGTGTGTTCCACATAAATACACTGTATAAAAAGCCCAGATTGAGCCACCCTTAACCGTTAGGGAAGTGTGGAACACCCTGAAATTCCAGACACCAGCCAAGAGCCACTCTTGCCAGCAGGCCTTTCTAAGGAGAGCAGGCCTGTTCACTTTTTTTCTGCACGGGTTCCTGGATCCTGTATCATCCGGTTCCCTGGCGCCCTGAAAGATGCGTTCCTTAGCATCTAGTCACATTCCTCTGTGTTCTCTTCCACTCAGGCTTGAAACCAACATCTCTTTACAGTGATATTCAAACTAGCATCACCTCCTGAGGGCCAGGTTTCTGACTCCCTTGCGAACCTAGTCCAAGGCTAGCTAACAGAGTTAGGGAGCCCAGGCTGGAGGGTTTTAACAAGAGAACACTGGGTTCCTTCCTTGTTCTATCACTAACTAGTGGCACGCCTCGGTTTCCTCACGCGTAAAAGCAGGAGGTCGGTTCCGATCAACGCTGTGATCTCCCCACCAAACTGTTCCCCTCACTGCCAGATCGGCCCCGCTGTGGCCCTTCTGTGCAGTATTATTCCCACTCTCCGCAGGAATTACACTGGGCCCCAGCAGCCCAAACAGACGGGTGACTGTGAAGAGTTTCCTGGACATCTCCAGACTACTGACTGAAGTGGGTGTGTTGGGGTGGGGGCGGTCTTTGTCTCTAACCTCCGATCTCCCGCTCGGTCCTCTCCCCCAGCTTCTGCTCAGCCCCAAGGGCACAGGCACTAAAAGTGGGTTTGAGGAGTCGGGGCAGGAAAACAGTGTAGGGAAGCCTGGCTCATCCCTGGGCCAGCCCCTGTTCCCACCTAACCCAGCAAGCAGGTTTTACTTCCCTCTCTCCCTCGCCACTCGCCCCAAAGAATCGGCATAAGTGTCTGCCCCCAGCTGACGCTAACACAAAAATCCCAAAAGTTCCGAGGTTCATGGACGGACCACGGGCCGCAACACGTCCCAACGGGGCCGTTGGCCGGCAGGGAGGGGGCAGCGCGGGGCGGGGTGTGCGGGCTCGACGCAGGGGCTAAGCGGGGCGCCCCGACGGGGGAGGACTCCCCGTGTCGCTGCGCGGCCGTCGGCCCGGGGCCAGGAAGCTCGCAGACCTCGCGCCCGGCTCGGGGGCCCGCGCCTCCCCCGAGGCCTCCCGTCCGCTCACCTCCTCCCCGCCGTAGCGGGCCAGCTCCTCCTCCGTGAAGAGCCGCACCGGGGGCCCCCGCTCGGCGGGGCGCGGCGCCTGCCC